GACAGTCCCTGTTTCAAAAACTTCTGAAAAAAATACATGTGAATGGAACAGAAATTAATGACCTCATACTCTGTCAAAAAATAATTTAATCAAGATTATGAAGCAGTACCTGTAAGTCGGGGGATAACTGTTTTGTTGATAACAGCAGACAAGATTTTTTTATCTGAACTATCTTCCTTCTTTGAATCTTCCATACTGCTATCCATAAATTCTTCTACAGATGTGAACCATGGCATCTGTTTTAAATCTATAGAATCCAACTTACAAATGAAATTATAAAAGTTATAAATAAATTCTTAAGCATATTTTAAAATAGTTGTTAACTTTTTCAATAATCACCAGACCTTTTCCAAGGATCAAAAGAGAACAATTCCATATTTTAACACTGTATATAGCACTAGACCACTAAGGCTAGGCAAGGTGACAAGACTATGACATGTCTAAGCGATATATAATACCAAGAAGCTGCATTTCATGCATTCATTCGTGCAACACTCACCAACTGCCTACCGTGCGCCAGAACCTTTAGAGCCTACCACATGGCAAGCACTCTGCTAGGAGCGAAACGAACACTTGTTAGGCACTTGAAATGGCCATGGAATTTGTTTATAAAAATTTATTCACCTCAAGCAAAGTTTACTTCTGGCCCTTTTAATTCTCATAAATATAAATGTGTAATTTGTATGTAGTTTAGCTAAAGGTCCTGGCACACAGTAGGCGGTTGTTGAGTTCATATCTTTAAATTTTGGATCTGAACATCAGTGTAATCTCTAGCTCAACTAATATTTCTTCTTTTATACCTTACCAAATATCTTTCCCTTTCTGTCTCCTCCTGTTAATCCTTCAAAGCCTCACTTAAATTCCCCCTCCTCAATGCAACAATGACTAACTCTTCCCAATATGTCCTCTCCAACTTTAGAACTCTTGGAACAAGGCTTGCATGTCTAATTTCCTCAAACCCAGTATTACCTTGTTCTTTTGGGCAGGCGGGGGGGGCTGTATTTCAAACTTATATATAGAAGCAGCTTTAAAAATGTGTTTGCTTTACTGATGTTTAGTGCTACTCAGCCTTAAAAATCAACTGAGAGCCAAGAAAAGAAGAAGGTAGCTTAAAGTACACATTTCCAGACTATTGTTCCAAAGCTCTAAACTTCAGCTCCAACTCTAGGTATTTAATAGCTAACCTGATAGCGAGGAAATTGAAGTAACTAATGTGATCAGGATAATTTCTTGCATAATAACCATAAATACCTTAAGAGGATTCCAAGGAATCAACTGAACTCGTATTAGGGGATTTAAAATCTTTGGTATGCATAAACTAATGAAAGCTTCATAATAGGAATCAGGAAACTTTTCTCGCCATTGCTGAAATTTCAACAAAATATTCTGGATGTTACAAAAATCATCATGCACATCTTCAAAAACTTTCTTCTGATTCTGTAAAATGTGATCTGTAAACAAAATGAGACTCTTTATATTATACATTTTAAGTTTGTGAACGTTAAGCTTGCTTCCTATAAATAGTCACACGTGACTGTAATTAGTTGAGCTAAAAACTTTCCTTTGGTATTAACATATAAATTCATTTCTATTAAAAAATTATCACTTTAGCCACAAGCAAAATAACATCAACACTAATAAAATCTGTGATTTACCAAGCCTCTGCTGTTTGCCATTATAAATACACTAATCTCATTTCTTCTTCATAACTATCTTCCCTACAATACAAGTAAAGCCTACTTATTTACAGACCAACAAAAGAACAACATCAATATTAGGCCAAGGAATTTGTCTAAGATCACAAAGAATAAAGCCTGTCTTTGAATCCAAGTCTACTTAACTCCAGAGGCTACAATTTTTCAACTATACACATTTTACCTTATAATGTTAAAAATGGTTTTGCTAAATTCAATTGTTTCAAATTAAACATGATAATATAGAAAGTATGTGGTAAAAAAAATGAAAGAAAAGTGTTTTTTTTTGTAATAGGAAAAAAAGCTGAATGGAAAAAACTATAAAGATGCAAGAATACTCACAATACTCCTCCTTCATTTTATTCCATTTTTCCAGAGGTAGGAAATGAATCTTAAGGGAGAAAAAATTTTCCATTTTTCCTGAATTTTCCAGATTGTTTCATATAGCTTATGTATTTAAGGGCAATAATAGCAAGCATTCCCACCATTTGAATACTTCAAACCAAGATATATTGGAAAGTTGGTAACTGACCTTGGCTTTTTTGGAAGTCAGTCATCTCTGCTGAAGATAATTCATCATCACTAGATGTCCCTTCCTGATGGTTGCAATTCCCAGAAAGCACACTTGCTTGTCTTCTTCGTGTTCTATATTTTGCAACAAACCAAAAATAAATGAAAAGCAAATAGCTCTTGATGAAAATAAATGCTTTTTAAAGAAACAGAAGTAATTTTATCGTTTGCTTAAAATGGCCAGCAATATATATTATACACTTAATATTTTTGACAGTTTTATAGCTTCATTAGTTTGAGTTGGTGGTTCTTCCTCTTTTTTTCTCGTAAGGCATTTTTTTTTTTTTTTTGAGACAGAGTCTTGCTTTGTCACCTGGGCTAGAGTGCCATCTCAAACTCCTGGGCTCAAGCAATCCTCCTGCCCCAGCCTCCTGAGTAGCTGGGCCTACAGGCGCATGCCACAACGTCCAGCTAATTTTTTCTACTTTTAGTAGAGATGGGGTCTCACTCTTGCTCAGGCTGGTCTCCAACTCCTGAGCTCAAGCAATCCTCCCGCCTCAGCCTCCCAGAGTGCTAGGATTATAGGTGTGAGCCACGGCGCCTGGCCAAGACATTTCTACTTAGGACATTCCCATGGGCTGATCAGATTCTGAAGAAGGGGTAACAACATAATTAGGACTGGCTTCTAGTTATGAGCAATTCCTAAACTGATAAAAATGTCATTTTACTCATTCCTTTCAACTGATCTAAATATACCAGTGTGTCTTTAAAGCAGTAGAAGACTGCTTAACTAAATCTTGGTTTTATTATACATTATTTTTACAAGTGAATACTGTATGTCAGGTGTGGTTAATTATATCATATGGTTAATTATATTTAAGTAGTAAAAAGTACTTGCTCAATGATGCTTTAAGTCTTCACTTTATATAGCTACCTTCGAGATTCAATCTCTTCTAAAATCCACTGAGTTTTTTCATCTACAGCCAAGTTTCCATTTGTTGATGTCTCCTCTTTGCCTGTTAATAAAATTAATTTTTTACTATAAATTCTCAAAAGAAAAAACTGAAACACTTTGAAAATAAAGGTTATAGCATGGATGTATATACATATTAATACGTATTATATAAACACACACACATAATGTGCTTAAATTGCACATTTTCTCCAGTTTTCTCCATAGCCAAATGCTAGAAATATTTGCATTACCAATACAGTAGTCCACCGGGGATATGTCCCAAGACCACCAGGGGATGCCTGAAACCATGGATAGTACCAAGTCCTATATATACTATGTTTTTTCCTATGTATACATTTCTATGATAAAGTTTAATCTATAAATTAGGCACAGTAAGAGACTAACAGTAATAAAAAAATTATAACAATATACTGTAATATAAATTGTATGATTGTGGTCTCCCTTTCAAAATATCTTATTACCTATTACCTTATTACCTATTTTTGGACCATGGCTGACCTCAGGTGACTGAAACCAGGGAAAGCAAAACTGTAGATTGGGGGGACTGTTGTATTTTATTCATATTATTTAATATGTACTGACACATGTAATGTCATGTGGTTGAAAGTCACTTTGCCTTTGCTTTTATTAGCTACTTGGTTATGGTCTCATCTCTTTTACTACCTCCTGATAGCACTTTAATCAAAGGAAGACATCTCTGAAAATACAAAACCAGTGT